TTAATTAATTTATCACATACATGTACAATTATTGTAATTTTTTTTAATTGTTTTCATTTTTACAGACTTGTAATAAATTAATAAATTATATAAATATAATATAACATATTTTAATTATATTATATATTATAATTAATTAATTTATCACATACATGTACAATTATTGTAATTTTTTTTAATTGTTCTCATTTTCAAATTAATTTTACAATTTCGTTGCAACTTTTCACTTTGTAATTTTGTGCACAGAATCTATGTGCATTCATGATTACGATAAGATGATAACGTTTTAATGGAATTCAGTTCAGTTTCAAGTATAAAGTTAAAGAATTTAGATTTTACCCGCAACTCCGACGATGCTGAAAATTATCGCACAAACCGCAGCTGCGATAGTAACTGGTCGTGGGAAATGCTTGAGACTTTCACCTCCGGAGTCGAGATCGAAAATTGTGCCGTTTGTTACAGAATCATCCATTTTGTATTGTTTTTATGCACTGCTTCGTTCTCACATGTTCTCGAAAAGTAAAATGCAAAACGTAGTGAACACACTTTAAAAAAGTAGAAAATGTCATTAAAGAACACGTGTGTTTAATAATGGCAACATATTTGTTATATACTTCAAGTGCTGTGCAAAATTCATAGACTTTTTTCTTTTCTTTTTCCGTCGTTATAATTCCCTAACAAAATGACAAAGTTTCACCTAAAAAGCAACGAGTGCTTCAAACTTAATTAATAGGTTTAGTTAAGGATAATATACTCACGCTTTATTGTCAATACTATTCATCATATCTTCGTATAAAATCACGAAGTTTCGAGTTTCTTCTTTTTAAATCTTTCATAATCGAATTGCTTCTCGAACTTCTATACGAAATTCCATTTAAAATTTTTGAACTTTTACCACCGAAGAATTATCTCCATCAAAATTGCCTCGTCTAAAATAGCAACCAAAATACTATAATTAAATTAGTTATCCATAATTTCTCTAGAAAATTATTAATTATTAACCGAACGCTATAACGAAGGCTATAACGACTAAATTTCTTGTCTAATCTCCTTTACAACGATATTGAAGAATCTTTCCTGACAACACTGTTACTTTCCACAACTTAAAGCTTTCCTTTGTCACGATATTTAATCCTTCTAGAGATAAATCAATGAGAAAGAAAATTCACACAATTGCTTTCATTCATTCGAAACATACTAGCATCACGATTTCCACGAACGAAGATCCTCTTATTCAACGACACAGGAAATGAAGTCTGAAAATCCGACGGACAGATTAGCCACCGCATTTCTATATTGTTCGAACGACGCACGAGTACTAACTCTTGATTTGCATATGCGTTCGACGATGCAATCGTTACTTCGACGACCTTCGACAATGTCTGGAACGATTAAACGCACGGGGGCTTCGTAACCGAGCCAACCATTCGAATACAATTCTCTCTCTCTCTCTTTCTCTCTCTTTCTTTCCGCATTCTCTTCTTTCTGCTCGTTAGTTAGCAACTTCGTTAACTCGTTCTATCCGTATCGTTCATTGATTTTCTTGCCATCTTTGATGACGATGACGATGACGTCCAAAAAATGAGGGACTTCCTCTTGCAGACCTTCCGCCTCTCGGTGACCACGAGCTTTCCAACTTGTTGCGACGAACCACGAATTAGTATCAAACTTCGATGAACTTCGACCTTGTCTTATTGAAAATAATTGTTTCTCATTACTTTCTCGGAAATAGTGAAGCCGTTCAAAATTATTTCCAACAATCTTTAACTTTATCTTATTCGTCATTAATTTTCGGCGTTGCTGTTTTCAAAGTTCGAGATTAAATATTCCAAATTATTATCTTTAATTTCATTTCGTTTAATTCGTTTATTTAATTTTCGAAACTTAAAATTCAGCATTTTTAACAAATTTACGAGTTAATATCTCGTTCGTCGATATTGCTTTCGCGCTGCTGAATCGATTGAATATATAGTAGCTGCTTTTTGGAATATTCAGTGGCTACCTAAATTCAAATTTCCAACTTCTTCCTTGCCTCCCTTTTCAAATTGTCATCGATAACGCATCACAAAAGATCGCATTCAGTTGAAATCCCAGTCGCTCTCCGACACTATTTCACTGTTTCAAGCTTCACTGCCGAAAAAGCGATAACATCCTGAATCTTATCCTAATTCTAAAATCTTCGTCACTTTCTCATCCAATCTTTATTCAATTGATTATATCATCTTCTTTAGCTGTTTACAAAACATGTACCCAAAGCTACAATTCTTCACTTGAAAATGGGAAAAAAAAAAAGAGGAAAAATAGAAAATAAAACGTCGCGTATCGTTCTATCAAATTCCAAACGAACAGACACACTTTCTTCGTGGAAAAATCGATCCTCGCGCGTAATTAAATATAATTTCCTGCGATGCTCACGCGATTCTTTTTGGTAGTACAAGAACAGGTTGCGTCATCGAGTCTTCTAGTCCAGCTGCCGCGACGAACTTTCATCGACTGACGATGTTGCTCGACGCATTACTTCCCTTTTACACAAGAAACACACGAGGTCCCCTTATCTGCCGCTTCTTTCACTTAACTCTCTCGTTTCCTCCTCGCTGCCGCCTTTTTTTCAGCAATGTTCTGCTCCCTACGAAGCATCGGGTCTCTTTCTCTCGCTACTCGAGAACCACTGCCACCAGGGTAATCGTAATTAATTAATCTCTCTTTGGAGATCATTGTTAGACCGAGGATCGTTCAAGCACATACAATCGAGCGAAATGATACTTCTCGAGCATTTGCACGGTGGCGCGTCACACCGTGAGAATTTTTGAAATATCTTTGCTACACCTTTCGAGTTTTGGAGGACCTTTCGGTTCGATCGATTTGCACTCTTCGCGTTCCACCATTTTTTTTTTTTTTTTTTTTTTTTTTTTTAATGAAACAATTTGTTACTTTTACTATTTCTTTGAATATATTATTTACTCTAATTCTTTCTTTATGTAGAATAATATGTGACTGAACTTAATTAATTTGATTCAGTTGGACCGGTTTTTCTTTTATCATGTACATTCGACGCATTTTCATATCTATGCAAATACAATCCACGATCTATTCATTATTTATTCTGCTCGATTATTCTTTTGAAGAATTTTTCAATTAATAATTTTCTAAGAAAAAAAAAAGAATGCGTATAAATAGACGGTTCCTTGTTTAGCTATAACAGACACTGTTGTTTTTATGCTAACAAACCATGGAGAATACAAATGAAATGCGTTTAATTTGATCTTTATCTTGTCTGACGTGAGAAGAACAATTATGAATGGATATATATCACATTATGTATAGATACTACCCACAAGTAGACATTTCACGCGTTCTATCTAATCTAATGATTATTTCTTTACAAGTCGGCGTAAATTGCGTAGGTTTAATTCTCCACTATAATTAGCATATTGTTCGATAGAGAATAACATTTTCAAAAATTTCTACTTCCACGGAATTTGAAATCAAAGGAAACTTGAATTTATACCCTGGCGATATAAATTTTCATCCATTTCGCTCTGTTATCCGTTCTACTTTCGTAATTTCTCGATACTATTTATATCATGATTGAAATTTCATATATGATTTAAGGCACACCTTCCTTTACCTCTCTTGCGTAGTAATCTCACTTCGAATAGCAACAACAGTCTAGATGTTCAAGCACATAAGAAATCCAATTTAGAGGAAGTAAACTGTGAGAGATACAGCGTAAAAATTATTTCAAACGACGCCCTTTCTGAACGAATGACAAACAAATTGTTTTCTGTTCGTTCGTACAAGTTTCAAACTTAATTTCATTGAAAAATCTCAAGTTGCAAATTATTTCAATTAGTGATTATTATTAATCTACTATTGATCTTCTTCTATTAATCTTAATAGATAATTAATCTTAATTTTAAATTTATTTCAATTAAGAATGTTGTTAATATTTTGTAATTGAAAGGGTTTGAATCTTTCGAATGAAAAATTACTATACAAATTCGAATTAAGACTCGCGCGTATATATCGTGAGAAATAACTATTTTGTTTATGAATAATACTATTTTTCTACAAATGCAAAAAGAAACTTATAAATAGATTTTTGTGCATTTTTATATTTCTATGAATATTACTGAAGAAATAGAATCTACATTCACAACCTACATATTTGGATATTTTTTTATATTTTCTGAATTCTCCAGATTTACTAAAAATGCATGAAAATGTCTCTATAAGTCTTTAATAAATAATTACCTCAACAGTGTTCTTCTCGATTTATAATTCCCTCTTCAACAGCCACAAAACGAAAATTCACGTTTCGATTTCTCGAAATTGAAATCCTGCCATTATCTACACGAATTACATGCATCGCAAATTTCCAAAAAATTAATTAACAGACGATTGGGTCCCCTCGAGTCGCACAAAACTGCGAATATTTATGCATAATTTATGCAAATTATGGGAAATTTAAAATCCAAAAATCTACAACGTTTATTATAATAATTAGTAATCGAAACAATTTTCCACCAAGCTGTCCTTTCTTCAGTAATATTCATAAAAATATAAGAATTGCATAAACATTCGCAGTTCACTTATCACATTCAAATATCTTCGAACATCCTATACTGTCACCTCTTTCTTCTACTCTCCATCGATCAATCTTGTTTAACGTACGAAAGAAAGAAATATCAAACAGAATCGCAGTGACAAAAATTAATCCGTAATTTCTAATTATTTCTTCGAATAATTAACGTATTTTTTTCTTTTTTTTTTTTTTAGTGCTAATGCCACGAACGTTACACTCTGCCAACGACTGAAAACACGATAATTTCGACGTTTACGGTCGGTTCGTTCCACACGGCACGCCGATCTCGTACTGAACGCTGTTCCTCATGGTGAGATCGAGCTGATGGTTGAAAATGGTCGAGGGATCGGTGGTCGGGACACGATTGGCACGCGCTGGAATTAACGCGGTCAACAGGGTGCAAAAGGGTGGCGACGAATAGCAACGTTCGCACATTACTCTTCCTATATGGGCCATTAATTCTTCGGTTAGTTCGGTGTATCGATCGGACATTATTGACGTTAAGTATCAAGCATTAACTTGTTTACACTAACACTTGATTATTCGAGAAAAGTTAAGCAATAATTCACTTCGTGTGTTTGATATTCGGTGAACCAGTCATGTAAAAATAATTGGATTTTCGATGGGGATTAATTAATTAAATACTCAATGGATGAAAAAAAATAGAGATAAGATAATCGATTGAATATTATTTAAAATTTTTAATTCATATATTGTTATAATGTTCGATCGTTTCAACAATATCGTACACGAAATATTAATTTTATATAACGATAATATATAATTTATATAAAATAATATTAATTTATCATAATATTGTTTGAATGTTATTTAAAAGAAATCATAACGTACCACGAAAACCAGCAGGCAAGCATCTCGATAAAAAGAAACGGTGATCTAATTTTTATTGGTAGCGAGACAATACAATATTCCTATATCATTATTTCGTCGTATTTTTTCATCCGCAGTATGCAGCCCCGTCAAGCGTACTAAACGTAATTATGCGTCGACTTTCTCATGAAGAAATTTCAATGCAAGTTAACCCCCCGTTGATGTCAAAAGATAGCCATAGAGACGACTTACCATCACGGTGGATAGGCCAGCTGTCGGTGGACTCGGCACAAAGCCGTAGCATAACAATCGAAAGGAGCGGTCCAACAAACAAAACTCACCCTCCGGGGCCCCCTTTCATCCCCTCGATACGCTTCACCTGGCTCTCTGCCCTGCGATTAAAGGTAATCTTGGAAAATTCTCACTGCTGCGTCAGCTCGTTCTAAGAGCTAAGAACTATTCTCTTTTTCCTAATCATTATATCGTTTCTTTTTTTTCTTATTTTTTTTCTTTTCGTCTTCAATTTGGCAAATTCAATTGAAGTAACAAATAATTAATATTAGAGATTTCTTTAAAATACTTTTAACATTTAACAAATTTATAAATTTAATAATCACAGCAACAAAAAAAACCCAATATTTATTTTAACACTAATCTGTTATTCAAAATTTATATTTCATCACTTACATCGAAGCAATTTTTCTGTTAAAATAACTGTTAAAAAGTAAGAAATATAATTTAATACAATAGTTTAAAACTTGGAAAGTATAATAAAAATCAACTTCTATAAGATCACTTTAGAACTAGAGTAAAACTTCTTTTAACATTATTTAATTTTACTGAAAACTTATTAGAATTTAGATTCAAATTTTACTTTAATATATTGCGTGTTCATATTATACATTTTTGAATTAGAAATTTATTTTTCCATCGTAAAATATATTCCCTTTCTTTCTATCTTCGTAAACATTTATACATACTCGAATTCGCTCTTTTCTCCGAAATAACACGAAAAAAAAAAAAAAAACACCATAGAATCGTCTCACATCCCAAACACAGACTGTTTTCCATAACCAACCCCGATTAGACCGGTTCAAATAACTCGCTTGCTAAAGGAATGCACCGTGAGAAGAATAGTATTCTTCTCATTTTCAGGACAACGAAGGCCATACTTTCCTTAGGACGAAAGGTTTACGTAATCAGACTATGCACACGGCGAACCTTTTACCTAAAACCTTTGCTATCGTTACGGCAATATTTCATCTTTGAAAAGAAAAAAAAAGTGCCTCGTTATCTTCACTTTCGGTCCCTCGAAGAATAATTTTCGATTTACATAGCGCGTCGTTGAACACACAGGAAGGATTTTATACTTCCGTTCAAATATTTGATAAGTATTTTGATAGGACTAGGACGCTATTTTTGATAATAATAAAATTTTCAAATGCCGTATGTATTTTAATATAATATAACTATCAACGTCTCAATACTTTATATAATTCTTTCAATTTTGAGACAAATGTAACATTTGTAAGTCTATTAAAAGTTAACTAAATTTTACAATATTAGCAAATGTTTTTGATAGTAGTGATAGTAGGAACTGAAGAAGGATTTTTCTCGTTGGAAATATTAAATAAATGTTTTACTTGCATTTAATGCGTCAGTATTTTTGATAGATTTTTAATACTTGAGGTAAAAGTAAAGATAATTTTAGAACGCCGGAATTCCGTCGTCTATATTTATTACCGATAAGCTATCTACGATAAAGCATCGAAAACCAGACCTCGCCTTATATGTATTCTGATTAATTTTCACACTGATTAATTTTTTTCGATTCAATTAGCAGTGGTGCTTGTAAGCTTCGTAATAGAACTTACTACCACTTGAGACAAAGTAAATTGAGCACACACGATATATTATAACAGTATCTAAACTTTCAATCAATTTCAATTTCTATTTCTATCCTGATCTTGCAAATTCGAAATTCGAAATTTACTTACACACTTCTAAACTCTCTAATTTTTCTAATTTTTTAAATACAGTGAATAATTCTATGACAAATTGATCGTTCTATTAAACTTGTGCAATTCGAACATTGACATAATGTTCATTTAGCAGTTTTCAATTACTAATATGTCCGGTGAAAATATTAAGACGAGCCGAAACAAAATAACCAACAACTAAAATATATGTATAATGGTTTCGTACGTACTTGCAAGAAAATTGTTTTGCCGCCTACAGTGTAATTAACGATTTCTTTATGACAACCTATTATTGCTTCATACCCTAATCAGAAAAACCAACAATCTGGCCATACATAATGTTTGCTGATACGTATATATTTACAGATAGTCACAATCTTTGTCCAATAAAAGTGATTGGTGTTCACAAGACAGTAACGATAAGGGACGTGAATTATGCACTGAAAAACTCTTTGTTGGCGATTTGATGCATCACACCAGACCGGAGATACTTCCCTCTATATTACAATTTAATCTTACTCGTTTTCGTCAATTCTCATCAACAGTTTTCACATTTAAACGACTGATGAGAATGAAAGACCATTTTTTTTAATCCGAACGAAAATTAAATAATAAAAAAATGAAGGAAGAATTATTATGTAAATAATATCTAAAAGAAAGGAAGAATTAATAGAAAATCTTTTCTGTAGAAAGAAACAACTTTAGTGAAATCTCTTTAAGAAAATTTCTCTAGAATAAAGGGGAGAAATATTTCTTTCTCGTCATTTTTATATAAATTTCCACAGCTTTCAAACGATCGTTCTCCTTTTTTGGTATTCTTGTTTAAAATTTCAATTTCAGTTCTGTTTCTAGTAGCAATGTCGGATAACCACTGGTGCACGTTCTGAATGAACTCATTATGCATAGTCCCACGAGCCCATACACCATTTCAATTCAACAGTGCTGTCTATTCACGAAATACTACAGCAGCGTCTGAAGTCGTTTCTAGAAGCCCCAAAAGGGTGACTTAAGCGCGACGAAGTGATGGAAATAACAAATAAAAAAGAATTCCTTTGCAAGGAAAGGTATCTTGATCTCTTCATGCATTTTAAAAGCTAAGTAATTCTTTTCTTTCTCGTAAAAATTTTATCTTGATGAATTCACTGCTTTATTAAAACACAAATGCATTTTTCACGTTTTAATTTCTCATAAAATAGTAATTTCAATTCTACCTATTTAAACAATTTTAAATTCATTTATTTAACTCGCAGATGGTATAAAAATTTATGTTAAATTATTAAAATTTAAGATGTTTAATTCTATTTTGCATTTTATATTTTTTCTGATAGAAATTGTAAAATTACTTTAAATTGAAAAATTTTTAAACTTTAAATCCATAGTTTAATGATACCAGTTGCAAGAGTTAATTATTTCTGAATCTCTTTAGAAAAAAAAAAAAAAAATAGAAAAATCATGTTGAAATTGATTAAATGAGGATCTCTGTTGGATTCAAAATGAATTTCGGTTCAGGAAGTTTCGAATGTAGATAGACAGGACACGATGTCAAGATTTTTGACAGGGGCACAGAATAGTGCACGTGTAGATCGAAACCAGACTCTGCGATAATAAACTACAAATACTATTTTTATAAAGGAGTTGTGTTACACATGTATCGATCAAACTAAAATATGCCGAGAAATTTCCAAACAGGCCATCTCTGATTTTCTCTTATAAGAGCTAACAGTAAGTATTATACAAATAATGCCTAAACTGATTTTTTTTTTTTTTTTGTAAAATATATTTTAAATTTTAAACGAATTTTTAGGCACTTGCGATTATTTCAAATAATTTTTTATGCTAATAATAATATTGTGCTTTGTTTTAATACGCGGTGATATTGATAATAAAATCACAATACTATTTATACACATATGAAATAGAAACTTATGATATATCTATCAAGTAAATTTTTATGCTAATAATTAGATTGTGGATTTTTATTGTAGCATTTATCACAACACTAGAAGATGAAATAAATTTCTATTCAAGATTTTTCTTTAGTTACGTTCATTGAAATACAAAAATACATAAAAATCCGTAGTCTACTAATAATAATGCTACGATTGGTAATAAAATTACAATACGTGTAAACTAGATTTAAATTATTATACACAGAACGCGAAGCAGAAATTTTAACACGAAATCTTTATACAACGGAAAATCCCGAGAAATGGGAATGTTTTATCACTCCGTGGTTTCATATTTCTGGCAAGTCCTTCCGTCTTTCAAGAATGATAAAACCACACGTTAAGAAAACACTGTTATCACGTCGAAATCGACGATATTTCAGTAAGCGAAATATAAGATTCTTCCTGTGTGAACTTTTCACAAATTCAAGGTAACGTGAAATATAATCTTTTAATAAATAAAACGAGAAATAGCATTTTTCTTTGATAATATTTATTCTTCTAATATATATTTATCTATCGTACAAACATAACTATTCATTAAATACAATTAAAAATCGTTTGGTTTAATTAGAACGCTGTTCCATTTCTCGCTTGAACAAGAGCAGATACGCGATAATGGCCATGGCTGGCAATATCAACGGCTCGGCTGTTGCCCTAAAATATCTCTAATCTATAAATAACTATAATCCTCATTTTATCGAGGAATTCTCTTTTTTATATTTTCAACAGCTTTCTCGACTCGGTGTTATTCGTAAATTTCAAATCTCCATAACATAATACATTTATACAATTGTTTTAATATTCTACGATGACTCATTGAGATTCTATTAAATTTATTAACAACACGTATCC